GTTTGTGTGACCTGGTTGTTTGTATCAGTATTTTAACTATATAAATGGTTTGTGTGTCCTGGTTGTTTGTATCAGTATTTTAACTATATAAATGGTTTGTGTGTCCTGGTTGTTTGTATCAGTATTTTACCTATATTAATGGTTTGTGTGTTTTTTCGTTTTAGGGTTTTTAACATTTTGAATCGAAAATAGTATTATCCAAATTCTAGAAAAATACTGACAACAGTCTTCATATTGAAGCTTGAAATGATTTTGATTTAAACAACATTAAATTTCCCCTGCTTTAAGAACAGCTCCCCCTTTTCTTCTAATGTGGTTCCTTCTCACGTTGTCTTTTCCCTCGTTCCTCCTACGAACTGATGTGCCAGCATCGTTGTCATGGATACCGTTGCTGTGGTAACTAATACGGATTGGCTGCAAATGGCAAAGAATGTACACGTTATTGGTATTTCTAAAATCTTTCTTGTAGTAAATCAATACTCTGCATTCAGTTGCGGGTCTTCATCGTACTTCGTAATGTTAGCATTAGAATCATAGGGAATATAGTATTACCTTCATGCCGATTCGTTAAAGTAATTTTGAAAGACAGTACTTATACTTCCTTCTGTTAATTAAACAAACCAATTAGTGCTGTGGAATTCACGTGAAATATGTCATTCAATAGTTCCCATTTAATAAAGAATTGGAACCATCAAGCTACTTGAAATATTAACAAAAATGTAATCTGATAAAAATTCAGCACGTGACTTACTGTTAAAGCGATGAGGTCCGAAGAGACGCGTTTTCCTTATCAAGCGGATACTTGTATTGATTTTATTCTACCCAATGGTTTTACAGAGAGCTATCTGTCCTGCACCTTGGCATCTCTCTTCGTTGCTGAGTAGATGTTCCTCTTTGTAGACGTAGACAAACTTCATACATCTATCAAAGGTCATATGTACCAAATACCAGGATAATTCAAGTTCACTTGGACAGTTCACATCAGGTGAGTGTGAGATTTAACAACTATATATCTCTACGGAATAACGTTCTGATTTTATGTAGAGAACGTACTATATATCTGTACAGAATAACGTCATCTATCAATGGTCATATGTACCAAATACCAAATATTATTTACTAATAATCTATGTTTTAAATTTTAGGGTGACTTACAACAAATAACGAGAGCTCATTAGAATAATAATAAAATGTTTCTTTATTTTTGAAAAACTAAATATTTTTATTAGGAACCAGGACGTAAATATCAGTCACTGCTTTGATTCAAAGGACTTATTCTAAAGCGTTGGCTTGGTAACTTACAGGGAAGATTCTACTAGTCAAAATGACCAATAATGAAGAGAGCTGCGACTTGAAACAGTCTGGTTATTCTAAGTTATGCTCTTCTATTCTATATCTTATCATAATATTTTTATCAATGGGGATAATAAAACTTCCAGAGGCTAGGAAATTGTCTGTGTAACTTCTAGAGACTAGGAGGTTATCTGTGACACTTTTAGAGGCTAGGAAATTGTCTGTGTAACTTCTAGAGGCTAGGAAATTGTCTGTGACACTTTTAGAGGCTAGGAGGTTATCTGTGACACTTTTAGAAGAAGTGACACAGATAACCTCCTAGCCTCTAGAAGTGACACAGATAACCTCCTAGCCTCTAGAAGTGTCACAGATAACTTCCTAGCCTAGCCTTTAGAAGTGACACAGATAACTTCCTAGCCTCTATAAGTGACACAGATAACCTCCTAGTCTCTATAAGTGACACAGATAACCTCCTAGCCTCTATAAGTGACACAGATAACTTCCTAGCCTCTAAGTGACACAGATAACTTCCCCTAGAGACCAGGAGGTTATCTGTGTCACTTCTAGAGACTAGGAGGTTATCCGTGTCACTTATAGAGACTAGAAGGTTATCTGTGTCACTTCTAGAGGCTAGGAAGTTATCTGTGTCACTTCTAAAGGCTAGGAAGTTTCCTGTATGACAATTCTAGGAAAGTGATCCTTGTAGGATTAGAAAAAGATCAATATGACTCTAAGAATGTGTCATTTTCACAGATTGGGAAGTCATCTTAAGACTGTTTATAGGGAGGTGTGTAATGAGCAGCGCGACTAGAAATGTGATTTCTATAAGGTTGTGAAGTG